CAAATCTGTGCAGGATTGAAGCGGTGAGCACAAGAATCACAGCGGACTAGAAGAGCTAACGGGGTTTGCAAATCCTGATCTGATGTGTGTGTCCAATAGACAGACCAACCAAAAGATGAGCTCTCCCTCTCCCGGTTCGGTGAAATGGTTCGTGCTTAGCTCAGATAGAAGCTGATGTGATGAAGAGGACAGCTGAGTGAGTGATTGAGGTACGGACGCACGAGGTTCCTAACAGACTCTGCAGATCTGGCGTGTCTCTGTCAATTATATAGAATCAAATACATATAACTCAATAGAAACCAAGTCGAAGAGGAATGTTGTAACTGTTCAGATTCCAAGCATGCAGAATTATAGATGAACTGATCGAAGCTAGAAACATAAGCTATTGAATTAATTCCGCCGGTTTCACCCACCAGTATCTGAAAGAAGAAAAATTCTGTTTGGACGTTTGAGCCTGTAAATTACAAATCTGCAAATGACGTCTGTCTTGTCAAGTCGGTATGCGTCAGTTTCTCGAATTTGATTTTCCAAGTAAACAAAGTAGTACAAACCTGTGAAAGCACAAATTTCGTTGTCGCTACTCTAGATAAAAGCTCGAGGGAACAGAGGCAGACGACATACATGCAACGTAGGATCGCAAGCCTGCAAGAAGACTTGAATGGGATGACTTTCCAATTCGTAAAAGGTGTTGATTATCACACCGTTTACTTTCGACAAATCCAGTCCCGCTTCCACTGTCACTGAGACAGGGTTTATTTTGGTGGAATTTGGCAGCTCTATGTCCAAAAGAGGTGGAAGACCAGGGACGGTGATAGTCTGTTTGCTTTTGATGAATTTGCCATTCTCTCCCACTCTCAACCTTCGTTCCGAAATGAGAGCCGGAAACGCTTGAAGAAGACGAGCGAAATTTGCACCACTAGGGAAATACGCGTAACATGGTAGATTCTGTTCCTGTGAAAGTTTCTGTACAATGAACATTCCTCCCGTGTCAGATATTCTACTTTTTTCCCAATTTTGATGTGTAGTGTATTGAGATGGTATGATCACTAGCCCAATTCTCCCTCCCTGTGTTAAACCTGACTATTGTATCGAAATTCTCTCATACGCAAGTGTGGATTCTCATTTTTTTTCCCAATTTTGATATGTATTCTACTGAGATGGTATAATCAGTAGCCCAATTCTCCCTCTCTGTGTTAAACCTGACTATCGAAACGAAATTCTCTCATACACAAGTGCGGATTCTCTCTTTCTTCAAAATTTTGATGTGTATTTTATCGAGATGCCATCGAATAGAATCTGAGAACTAGCAAAAGAAGGTTCGTCACAAACACAAAAACATCTACAATAGAGAAGCCTTTCCCAAAACTGTTTCGGCCTAGAAATCAGAGAAATCCGAGCAGACGACAAATCAGAGCAATCTCTACGTCTGGCGAAATAGGGCGAGAAGGACAACACGCCTGGGGAAGAGTGTAGATAGTCATATGTACCTGAGCCCAAAGACAGAACATGTCTGCTATGACGCATGTGGGTAGGCCGGCAGCTCCTGAGGATCTTGCAGAGGCCATATTTTGCAAGTAAGGTTTTGCAGCTCGCATCACGTCGTACGAGTCCTTAAATGGTCTGCTCCAGTCTTCATGCAACTCACGTTCCGACTCATCGTGGTCCATAATGGTCGAGACTTTCCAGCGCTTCGGGCGCATGAAGCGAGTGTATGTGTGGCAGCATGTATCGGTCCGTGAAGATTGTGACAGTGATGTCTTGCTTGGCGAGCTTGGCTGACAGCAACAAGGCCGAAGTGACATGCGAAACCGAGATTATACTCAAAGGGATAACTAGTACGTGCGCACGCAACGAGCTCTCCCGGATCTGGATCTGTTCTTCATCTGCGAAACCGAGATCATACTCAAAGGGAGAACTAGTAAGTGCGCACGCAACGAGCTCTCCCGGATCTGGATCTGTTCTTCATCTGCGGGCGAATTGCCCGCATCCGATATTCCTCCCTCCATCACTTTCGATTGCTATCCATTCACGTACCTCTTTCAAAGTTTCACCTTGTGGGGTTGGATTCAGAAGATAAATTTCGGCTCCCGATCTGCAACATGGGCGATGTCTCCTGCACCGGATTTCGACAATCGCATTCTCAACCAGCTCATGCTTCTATAATGTCCCCAGCCGAGCTGAGAACTGCAGGATAAAAAATTTGCTCGAACGCAGAGTCGTCATCAGGATCTATTTCGTGAAACTGGAGTTTTGAGTCGACTGTATCCAAGAATTCGAAATTGTTTCACGAATCTGTCTCTCCTTTGATTTCGTTGGATTGTTTGTCTTCGTAAGTTTGCTGAGGAGTCGGAATTTTAGAAAAATCAATTTCACCGCCACAGGTTTGCTGACATGCTCGGACTCGCTCGACTCAGGGGCCACGTTGGAGCTTCTGTAGCCGTCCAGGAGGTGCAGACGGAGATAAAAGCGAGCACGAGATCTTGCTGATGAAACTGCAGCCCCGACCCACCCGGACAGTCTAACTCAGGGTTGACGGCGTACGGTCATCGCCTTGTGTTGCAACCTAGGCAGGCGGTAGACGGAGGGAGTGATTTACAATTTGTTAAACAATCATAACAAATTATCTGCTTTTTTTTAAACTGCTGTCAAGTGTGATAGAATCTGTGATTTAATCAATTGCAGCGTGGTTGTCTGCTGTAAATTTCATAAGCAAGGGAGATTATTAAAAAAGCATTCATCTCTAAACTGCAGTAGTAGAGGTCCATAAGTTCTTACATATGCCCACGCTGAGATCGGGTACGAGAGATTATTCCTTGGTACACATTTTGCGACATTTGCTCGCTCAAGCTCGTCAATTGCTTGGAATGGGCTTGCCTAGCAAGATGGTGCAGATTGGCAGAAACGGAAGCAGATCTGTTTCTGGTGGCAAGATGTGGTGAGGTTTGAACAGGTGACATAATATTCACTCTGTCATCTGAGCACCACGAACTCAGCATGCTTTATCTGTAATGAGGTTCATTCATTTTAGCTTTGCGAATTTAACAGAATCTTTTGGTCCGCCATGGACTCTCAGAAAGTCGAAACCCGAAAATGTGATGAAGATTCGAAAGAGGTTTTAGTTTCCAATATAGCACTTCGAGGAAATCTCTTATTCAGCACTGCCCACTTCAATAAGTTGCAGGATGTAACCCATCACCACTTATTGCAGCAATTCATCGACAATGATTTCATTGTAGACATGGGCAAGGATCTGAGAAAGTGGATAATGGGAAACATACACGTCTTATGACAGGGTCGGGACTATAGCGCTTTCCTGAAACCCATCCTGGTAGACTCGAAAGCAACTGCAGTTTAAAGGAAGTATTGTTCAGGCTAGGCTAATGCCGTGAATTGCAACTGCAGCCGAATTTGAGCACGGAAGAAATGTCGGTTTAGGGTAGAGTTAGGTTGACTCCCAGTTGTCGTCGAAAAATGTAGCTTATTATCCGAAATATGTATCGTAAAGTATTATCGGATGCCAAGCTGTCTTCCCGATGTCCATTTCGCCTTTCTTTTTCAGTTTTTGTGTAACGATTTTGAATGTATCGTCAAGGGTTTTTTATCGTCTACATAGAGCGTCTTCAAGGTGAAGCTGGTGTCACTTCCCGGTTCTACTCTGCTGGCACGAAAACATCCAGATGTGATAGTGTTTGATTCATGCAGACAGATTATCGATTTTGAAGGTCTGGTCCATCTTCTTGGCATCAATTCGGCTCGGAAACACCGAAACTAGCAGCACACCCAAGCTCTTCTACTCCCTTACAGTTATCTTTGTGATGCATGAATTGGGTTACGCGAATATATCTTGCTTAGCAATCTTGCGTATGGTTTGGCCCAGTTGGCTCCATTCCTCGGTACGCAGGTCGATGGCGGCCAACGTCACTTCTTCCTCTGGTTCCAAGCAAAATTGTAAACCGTGTGCAGAGGGGACTTCACTTTTCTCTATAACGCAAATCTATTCTGAACTCGAACGAAAATGGGTGTTTGACGTTTACTAACTCTGCAAGAATCTGAAATCCAAAAGACGGGTTCGTAGCAAAGATGGTGCGATGTGTACAGAATCTCATGGAATGCATCGAATCGCAGAGTTATGTTAAACTTGATTTAAATCTGGAATGGGATAATGCGAATCTAGCTGTATCATGATCCACGGGAAGACAGATGTTACCAGGGGCGTGGAAAAATAATGCACCGTCTTCAATCAAATCTTCTCATGGAATCTTGTGAGCGATCGTTTCTCAATGAATCTTGTGAGCGATCCAGGTAACGAGTACATGTGAGTATGGAGGAACACAACAAGCGTGTTACTCCGTACTCAGGTGTGATTGGAACATGTTCTTAGAAGGTCAGAGTAGATCTTGAATTTGTTGTGCAAGCGAACAGGATCTCACTCAATTTAGTGAGTGTATCAGTGACCTGACACACTCGATGTGGTCACGCTGGCAACAGAGATTTCAAATCTCACCTTCATTTAATACTTTTCTCTGTAATCTTTGATCTAGGATCTTTCAAGGAAGTGGATATATTTTGACAACTGAGAGGCACATGGGGTAAGTTATGGAGTTCTACTACCCAGCGTCTGGATCAATCTCTTCGGAATGACCTCCCTTCTCATAGAATTTACAGCAGACAACCACGCTACCATTGAATCACATATTCTGTTACTCTTGACAGCAGTTGAAAGAAAAGCAGATGTATTGTTTTGATTGCTCCATAAATTGTTCCGACCACCTAGTTCAGAGTAAATTTTGTGACATTGTGAATTGAAATGTGCAACAACAGAAATATCAATCAGGGATATGTATAAAAGCTCAACGTGACCACCCCACGCGTCAAGTGAAGGGATTTCATCATGGTGAGACTTGCAACATGACAATATGAACACTCTACACTCAGAAAGTCATCTTGATAGCGTAACTGAAGACTAAATTCTTCAGAAACATAATTGTGCGATTTACATGGCAAAGATTATAAAAGACTTTTACTTGTGAAAACTGCAAGGAAGATGTTGCAGAGTTGTATATTGCATTAGGGTCTCAACATATGCTTTTCAATTTCATAGTGGCATTCTAACCTCTTCAAAATCCTAACATGTCAAAATTCCACAACGAAGACCTTTATTCATGCACTTCTCGCACACCCATTTGTGCCCACCTTTTCCTAAACTCCAATATTTCACCTGATACAACTTGAAGATTACGGAATAGAATCTTTGAAGCTGAGGCGCAAGAGTTTGCTGAATCCTCAACCATGCTTCTTGCAGCTCCTTGCTTTCCCCACCTGTTAGGATTGCCCTGTGATCTTCACTGCTAATACCAACCAGTTTAACAATATCCGATTCCAAATCTTCCCAGGCCGGAATCCCTGCGCCCCAGCTCAAGAACTTAGGCAGTGCAGCCTTTGCACCATAATATATGACTTTGTATGAAATTTCAATAGTTTTCTGAATTCACTCCACATTCTCCGAATCCAATCGTAACCTCAACCCTTCTTGATCACTGACGGGGTGAAACCCAGTCACCGACTCACACATACAGTGTAATCTAACAGTTGTCCCGACATGCAATTTTGCATTCAACCTATAGAAAACTCCAACATCATCTGTAACGTAAGGTCGTCCGGGTACTTCCCCCCGCTGAAACGCTTGAGAATAGCCAATGATCCTCTCCACCTTAGACATGAAGGGACTTAACATTGAGTGCAGTTCTTGATGCACAGAGAGTATGTGTTGTATTTTCATGTCCACTCTTTGCAGGATGCTATGCACTTTACTCAACCTCTCATCTATATTATCAACCTTTCTATGCAAACCCTGAACCTCTCCTTTTAGCGGCTCATACTCAAAGTTAAGTCGATCGAGTATGAGTTGGGTCGAACGATTCTCCTCACTTGTGCTGGACCGACTCAAGCACCTGGATGAAAGTGGTTCGAGGTCTTTCATTTGGGGGGCATTGGAGCAGCTAATCATGTTTTCACCTTCAAAATAACACTCAGCCAAATCATAATCCACTGTAATTAGACCTTCCTGCAATGACTCTAATTGTTGGATTCTATTCTGTAGAATCTCATCCACAACTGCTTCCACATCACTCTCCCACAACAAATCTCTAGCTCGTTCGGATCTTCTGCCTATGTCTCTTCCAATCGAGGGCCAACAGTGCTCATAGTCCAATAACTCTTCCTTCTCCAACATGTTGAGGTGCAACATGATTAATGATATTTCTCCAAGTTTGTCATTGATGCTACGAATGAAGTCCGATTTCAGCTCCTCGATGAGAATGGCTCCTCTGAGATTACTTGGAATCAACATCTCCACGCAATGTGTTTGGATCACACCCAACACTAACGCCACCCCGGGACAACCTTTTGATGATGCGCAAAATGATGTCAACTCCTGGACGATATGCTTCGTCACATATTTAGTAGCCCTCTCCCTTGGCTGATGACTCGAGCATAACATTAGAACATCCACGTATTTGTGCGACTTGTCTTGCTCCACATAAATTTCATGCCCGTCAAGGAAAAGATGCAGAGAATATCGAGAGCAGGTCACAGTTTCCTTGGAAAAACCCATCTCCGATATCAACTTGCGTCTCATGAACATCTACAATGATATCAAATTTGGTTAATATTGAGATTCAAATTCAAAAAATTGAAATTAACATATGAAAAGGCAACATTCCATTCATAGTGCACAAGATACAATCAGAACTTGACGAATTTACTTTTCTCACAATATGTATGAAATCACCTGAAAGCATGGAAAAAAAGCTGTGGTCAGTGACATTGTTCTTGCATCTTGGCATTGAATCCGCATGCCCGCAAACTCTGAAGTCTCATTCCAAGTTTTCCAAGCCATCGACTGTACGGCCGACTCTTCTTCCATGCTTGCATGCTCAGGTATGAAGGAGGGAATAAAATACAGAGAAGTATCTTCGAGCTTGAAACACAAATCCAAATTGATAAGGATGTTTTCAAGCACCTCTCTGTCCACACTTCTCTGTCCATGTGGTTGCTTTTCTAGAAACTCTTCTATCAACCGAGCAAAGACACTCTCACTCACAAATCCGTCCTTGCTTGTGTATGAGCTCCATCTATCAGAAGACTCAGAATCTTGAGCTTGAAAATTTTGACCAAAAGCTATCAGCTCACCCAATAATGTATTCGTGAGCCAATTTGGATTGACGATGATATAATCAAGATTGGGAATATGAACTATAGATCCAACGTCATTCAAATAGGATTTGATGGAACTAATTATTCTCTCAACGAAGAGAGGAGGAGAAGATGGAATGAGTTTTCTCAACCTAGGGGTACAGAATTCATGAAATTGTTGAGATGTCCAAAGAGGACAACTTGAGTGATTCTTGGTGTTTGTAACCAAGTCAGAGGAGAGTTGAAAACACAATTTAGGAACCTGTGGGGACCTTTCACTCAACAACTTTTCAAATATTTGAAAAATGTGATTTTTGAGAGGAACAACTTGCTTCTTCTTTCGAGCATTTATATGAAAACGCTCTTGAATAGGATGGACATCCACAAAATTTGCAAATTGTTTTGACAGATTTTCCACTATTGGTTGAGCCCACGTCAAAGGAATGGATTGCATTTTATCCTTGTGTGAAATCACAACAAGAACTTGTGGAAGATTATCTCCCGTGACCCTCGTGCAGGATGTGATGAAACTCAACCATTCCTCCAACTCTATCTGAAGACAAGATGCTGGTTTAATCGAAGATGTTTTGTCACAGAAAGTACTATACACAAAGAGAAAAACACAAAAACTGCTAGTTGGAGGGAAAAGCACATTTTGAAGAGTACGAAAAATCTCTTGTCCCGCAAGATCCCAAATTGAGATTTGCCTCTTCTCATTGTTTTGTAAAAACTCCACTTCAATTCCTGTAGTTCTGAACAACCTCGCCACTTTGTCTTTCAACTTGACTTGAACTATCCTCATCAGGGTTTGACGCAATTGAGTCTTGCCTGATAAATTTAACATAGATATCACAAATGGAACATTGAAAACTTGTTAATTGATTTATTTTTACAAAATACTTGAAACCATATTCTATGATCAAAGTGTGTTAATAAATAGTATTAGAAATTTTCAAATCTCACATCAAAATCTAAAATTAAAGAGAAGAGAATTTTAGAAATAAAACCTTAGATGGCTAGTTCTTTATGCATGAGAAAATAAATGAGAGGTGACAGAGGACCTCACCTGCTAGAGGAGAGCCGCATAAAAAGAGTCGACCAGCTTTTGCATCTCGAAACGCTAATCTGGCTTCTCGGAACACGGCCATGTATTCTGCCCGCTTCCGGTTTTGCTCGAGGGCCTGTTGAATCAGCGCCGCCTTTCCGTCCGTTTGCCATGAGGTTCCTGAGACTTCTATCGCCCGGAGAGTCAAGTTCTTTTGAAGTAGCCCCATCAGGTCTCTGAACGCCTCGTCATCGAGTTCAGAGTCAGACAAATCCAATTGAGTGAGACTTGTGTTATTTCGCAAGCACACAAGCAGGTACTTCCATACTCCCTTCAAAGTATCTTTCTTTTTGAAAAATAATTTCAGTCTCTTCAGGACTGTAGTGTCTCTAAGATTTTCATCCATTGGGACGATACTTGGCATTCTATTTTCGTTGCTGCCTGGAGGGCAAGAACAATTGAAATATAGAATCAAAGATTCTAGAGATCTGATTTCTCCGCGCAATACCTCACCCACAAAGTTGAGTGCTGAGATCAATGCATCGTAATCGTAAAATGTGATAATCAGCTCCACTTTGGGGTCCTTATCATCTGAGCTAGCAGCACACACAAGCTCTTCTACTCCCTTCAAGTCATCTTTCTGACGCATGAAATGGGTTACGCGAATAGATTTTGCTGTAGCATTCTCGCGTATGGCTTGGCCCAGTCGGCTCCATTCTTCGGGACGCATGTCGATGGCTGCCAACGTCACTTCCTCCAAGTATGAGTTGGAGCTCAGAAGTTCTCGTAAAGAGTCTCCGAGTCCAAACACAGAAATTAGATGAAGACATTGAATAGCTTGATTGCCGCCATCTCCATCCAATGCCTTCTTGCTGAAGGCCTTCAGCAAGAAGGCCGACGCTTCGCCCTTCACCTCCCTTAGAACCAATTTTCTCAAGGATGAGCTCTGGATTAAAGCCTGCGACAGGATTCTAGCGGCCTCCTCATCCATGTCGTACATGCGCTCCCACGAACCCCCTATTTCCAAAGTTTCTAATCGAGTAGCACTCTTGATCATGTCAGCCATATGCTTCATCGCACTCGAGTCCTTCCATGCATTACATAGTTCTAAAGTCTTGAGTTTAGACTGGTAATTTCCTCCCAGTCTTGATGCGAGATTCAAGAAACATCTATCACTCAATCTGCAATCGCCAATTCTCATATCTGTTACACTAGAGGTTCTCAGAATTCCCCCCAGCTGTAAACACAAGCTCTCCACTTCCGCAAGAGAGGTCCATGTCAATCTTTCAACTCTTATCACTCGTAGATGGGTGCTACAGCTAAAACCTCTCAGAAGTACCTCCCACTCGTTAGCCGTTAGCCTCGAAATATCTCCGCTAAAAATATCCTGAACATCCAGATATTGAAGGGTGTTGCACCTGCCGATTGCCTCCAGCACTCGAAGGCGAACTTGGCTTTGCCACCCTGTGATAGTCGAAAGCAATGCACGCTGCGGAAAAAAATCCTGAAATTGTGGATAGGCTAATGTGGGAAGCCACCGTAAAGGCTCGGTTTTGTTATCCAGCTTCCGTATAAGGTCCTGAACAGCGGAAGGAAGCTCCAGTTCTTCGTCTGCGGAGTCCATCCCCCCTGTCGCAAGTTCAGCAGCATCCCTGACGATGGACGCACCTGCACTTTCCATTCTCTCCTCCGCTCTCTCTCTCACAGAGGAAGAACCGTTTGCTGCTTTACATGCGTGACCGGGACTACAGGAGGCCCCCTCCTCGATCCGCAGGACCAGCTCACCCAAAGAAAACTTAAGACTTCTTGCACTCTGCATGAGGAACAACAGAAAGATTACTCAATGCTCTTCACAGAATGAGATCATGGCAATCACCACGAACTCTGGAAGATTGTAAAAAGTGGAAGTAGGAGCTGCTCAAAGGCACTACAAGCGTTGTGAATCAAAATGAATGCAGAGAACCAGGATTCTGGTTCCAAAGTAAATCATAAAGCTTGTGCAAAGGGGACTTCATATAAACGCAAACCTTTTGCGAATTCGAACTGAGAGAGTAGAGAGGTGTTCGATGTGCACTAGTGACCAAACTGAGTGTACAAGATTACAGCTCTGCCGGTGAATCTGCAATACAAAAGAGTTCGTAGCAAAGATAGTGAGATGTGTACTCCGAATTTCATGGAAAGCATGGAAGCGCAGATAACTCAGATGTGAAGTACTCTGCGTTGTGGAAAGATAACAATGAATCATGACTTCAGATGAAGATCTCGTTCAAAGTCTAAAGAATTAGACAAACTTACATGGAAACTCAAATATTTGATATATATTAACTCCGATCGGGCTCGAGCTCACCCTCACATGGAAGTTGTAATAACCCACTAAAGGCTAAAACTGCAATATAGTGGTAGAAAGGTCGAACCCACAGGGACAGAGGAACACACAGGGTACAAAGTGTCACGTTTTAACAGACTATTGAGGAGTTTGAATTCTCAGGCAACTGTCACTCCCAGAAATACTGCAAGTGTCCACTCGGAGCGCACTCGGAGGTCGCACAGTGCAGCGTAACACACACACACACACACACACACCTGAAACTACAGAAACACAACCCAGAGATCCGTTAGGACCTCTACTCAAGATTTCAGGGGGGAAAGTCTCTCGCGAGCACACTCGGCGAAGCTGCGGGTAGTGACTTCCAACTCCGGCTTTTACAACACTTCCACTAGCTTGCTGCTAGTGTAGGAAACCCGGTTTGGACTGCCTACTTCGGATCGAAGTCACTCATACGCGGTGAACAACACTCTCAACTCACAAAACGCGCAGAGAACACAGGTCCGCACTGAAGGACTCACTGAGAAACATTCCAGTAACACAACAACAGTCTATTGAAGAGTTTGAATTCTCAGGCACTTGTCATTCCCAGAAATACTACAGGGGTTACCCTCAAGGCACCTGCTGCAGCGTAACCTGAATTTACAACCAAGGCTTACACGAAGTAGCAAAACTTCACTTTGGCATTCAGGGGAAAAATCCCAAGGGAGTACAATCAGAAAGAAACACTCGAAGGTGTAGGGGCGAAACTGTTCAAGTATCTAACTAGTCACTGGCTCTGAGCATCGGCAGTCACCCGCAGGTGCAGATCCGAACTACTCAAGTCTCTAACCACTGTACTAGCTCTGAACATTCGGCCGAAGGCCTTCAGCTACAAAATGCGGAACGCTAAGTTGTAACTCCTCGTGCGTGGTGACAGAACTCAAGGACACAAACACGCAAAGGAAATGGGTTCCTGATCTATACTTCTGATGGGAAAGAACCCCAGGCAAAACGCCTGGAACTATTTTATACCTTCTAAGTCCTACCTAGCACTACACTGTACTACGCTACACGCCTGCACGGAACCACGCTACACTACACTCCGCGGAACCTGTACTACGTCTCCTGCGCGGCCGACTGCCGCGCACTAACTCCCTACCCTGCCACTCTTCCGCTCGACTACGCAGTCCCAACCGCTGCAACGCCGCGGACACCTCCCCCTCGAGGGCGGACATGGTATCCTGTGCCTTCGACAGAAAGGCCTCGAGCTTCTTCGCTACCTTCCGCCGACTCCTACTGTCGCCTGACAACAACCCGGCTGCGCGCAATTCAAACTCACGCAGTGTGAGTTTCTCCTGCGCCTTTACTTCCCAGTGGGCGTAGCCCTTGAGACAGTGGGCGACTCGCCTCGCCGTCTCCACCTTCGTGCGATCCGCCTCCTTCCTGCGATCCTCTTCAATCGTCACTAATTGCGATTCGGCTTCAGCACGTTGCTGTGGTACCCCACTTTTGGCAATTTTGAGGAAATTAAAACATTTTTGGAAAACTGTACCATGGAAGCATTGTAAATAGCCTTCGGTACATCAAAACAGAGTGAATCCGGAAGATCGCGGGGATTCTCGAGGGATCTTGTAGAATCTGGGATTTGGGGTGCCGCACCAAGCACAGGCACCACCCTCCCTGCGAGCTCCGCAGTTAAGATCTCTACGGCGCAAGGCGCAAAACCCGCCTTCGGAGGTTGCGTCCGCGGCTGTAGGGAAACCCCCGTAATTAGGTAAACCCTCAAGCGCCTTGACCAAGTTAGGGTCCCGTTGGAAAGAGCTCGACGCGCTGATTCTAACGAGCCCAAGAACGCTTGGAACGGACAAGGACCTAGGGAGTTATCGCTACTGGAAGAAACGGAGGCGGTCGCCTACGGCGGAAGGATTTCGCCACCGGCGCGAATTCCGCCTACGCGGAAGGGGGATTCAAGTTTTGTCCTATGCACGGACGAAGGCGTTCGCCTGTGCACAGGCGAAGTAGGGTTAGGGAAGGCGCGAAGTCCGCCTACGCACAGGCGAACGCCTGTGCACAGGCACTTCGGCGTCGGCGGAAAATCCGCCTTGGGCCCTAGAAATGCGCCTTGTGAGGTAGAAAGTGTACGGCGCCTTCCGCGCCAGCGCGGCGCCACGTACGGCCGCCAGAGTAATCCCATCGGTACGGACCGTGCGGACGGCACGGGTGGATGCGCTCTTGGACGGACGGAGTTGCGGCGGCGGAAGCGCCAACGGAGAGACAAGGAACGGACAGACTGGACGGAGAGAGCTGACCACGGTCAACGCCTTCCGCGCCAGCGCAGCGCCGCGGACAAAATTCGCCGGCGCACAGGCGAACGCCTGTGCGCAGGAGGATGGAGTTCCGCACCGGCGGAGGATCCGCCGAGGCCCCTGCCTGCGCACAGGCAGGAGTTGAATTTTTGTCCGACATGCGGACGCACGCGTCAAGGCAGAAGGAGATTGGCCGAAGGGCGGTACGAACAAGTGTACCGCGCAAGGCGGAAAACTCGCCTTCGGCGCTACGCCCCCATGTCCGCAGGGTGACACGCTCGCGGATTTCAAATCCGCCAATTCGAGCGTGAGAGTTTAATCGACGACGGCGGAGCGTGAAGCCGCGCGTGAGAGCGAAGACCAATCCAGCGTACAGCCGGCGCGGCCATCAAGTGAGACGTTCTTCACGACCAAGAGACGACCATGACTTTCGACCGGGCGGCGGAGAGCGTCCCATTCTTGAATTCGCGATTCCAATCTCTTGTGCGCGCTGCGCGCATCCATCTGCTGGCTGCGGAACATTCTCGTCGTCGTCGCACAGGAGATTTCTTGTTGATTGAGGGAGAAGTGAGTGCGCGTGATTTGGAATTGAGAGCGATTAGAGTTTGCCGAGAGAGAAAGAAACGCGGACAGTGCGGAAGTAGAATGAGCGGGCGAGCGAACCCCAGGAACGCAATGACGAGACCGAGCAGATTGCGGATGGTGCCACTTCGCCTGCCGCAGAACGGGCTGCGCGCTTTCGAGGAGCGCTTAATAGCAAGAAAGCTCGATTTCTTGCTATGGGGATGGAATTACATCTGCGCGAATATGGTGCGCGAGTGGCTAGAGCCACAGGGACCACCCTCGCGCGGATTGCGTCCGCATGTTGACCGGTGGACAGTCCAAGATTGGGCGCAGGCGTTGGGAAGATGTGCTGGCATGCCAGGGCATCTCCTTTTCGACAGTGAGAGCATCAAGGTGACCAAGCAGGAAGAGGCGCAATTTGTGGAACTGTTCAAGACCGGGAGGTCCACCAAGAATGGGTACAGGACCCGTGATTACAAGGATCGATTTCGCCGGACTTTGTCCGCGGCGCTGATGCAATTACTGCAGCCGCACCGCGCCTGCTACATCACATTGTGGCAGGTCTCTTTTGTGGAGTGCGTCATCGAGGGAACTCCAATTCACTGGGCGAGCATCCTGCACAGGGTGATGCGACAGCACGCGTTTGAGGAGAAGGGGGGAACTCTAAACCATCTTTCTCCTTTCCTCATCAATTTTTATCGACAGCGGAATTGTTTGACAGCGGCAGAGCTTGAACATTTTCCGCCATTGTCCATCGACCATCCCGGGAAGTATGTGCGGGAGAACGAGGTCGATACTGACGCAGAGGAGTCACCGACTTCTACCCCATCAAGACGGAGGGACGAAGGGCGACACACTCCTGCAGCGCGAGTGCCGCGGAAGCGGCGATGGAGGAAAGAGTCCGAAGAGGAGCAGCATCAAGAACCCTCTGCTCCCATTCGACCGCGGCCGCTGTGCGAGCCATACAGCCGGCCGAAGCAGAAGGCACGCAGACTGGTGTTACCAGCTGACAGTGCAGACACGGCGACGATTGCGACGGAGATAGGAAGTGCGTCGCCAGAGAGGCGAGAGGAAGCGCGGACGACCGCAGGAGCGACGGGCCACGCTGCAATCTCGTCGGGAGAGAGTCCGCCTACGGGCCAAGGGCCTCCGGAGTTACCACGTGCGATGCGGACAGAGGTTCCGTTTGCGCACAGGCGAACCTCCGCGGACGGACGAGCCTCCGCGGACCGGCGAACACAAGTGGACGTGGATCTACGCTTACGCGTGGGAAGGAGCAGTCCGCCTGTGCACAGGCGCTCACCTATGCACAGGTCGCCTGTGCACAGGTCACCTGTGCACAGAACACCCCCGCACGTGCCGCCTGTGCACAGGCAAGAATCACCCCCGTTCCAACGTAGGAAGGGGAAGGAGCCGGCGGAAGAACCGCCTACGAGACACCGGCCCTCGGGGCCAGACCCTCCGGCGCACCACGCGCCGCAATTCGCGCCTTCGGCGCCAGGGCCTTCGAGCCGAGGGGACACGAGCAGAGAGCGTGCGGAGGCCGCATCATCGGCGGGAAGTCCGCCGATAGATGCGCCTTCGGCAGTAGGGCCTATAGGCCAAGGAACATCGGGCGTGCGGCCCCCGGCCATGTCGCCTTCGGCGATAGATGTCCGCGGCGCTACGCCTGCGGCGGACAAGGCGCCGGCAAATGCGCCTGCGCACGGGCCGGGCACAGCCCCCACGGACCGATCGAGGGAGCAGCAGACGGAGGAGCGGAGTGACTGTCCGCGGGACGACATCTCGATGCGCGATGCGCAATCCAACCCCGCGCAGCCACCCTCCGCTCGATCGCCTCCGGCGACGGACGACGGCGACAGAGAGAATGCGGGAGGCAATCAACCAGCGAGCGACGGGGATGCCGCTCGGATACATTCGCCTTCCGCCTTAGACATTTTGGCGACGAGCAGCGAGGCTGCAGCCGTGCCTTCGCAGGCAGCACACGTCGAGGACGTGCAGCCCCACTCGGGGCAGTCGCCGACACAATCAATGGCGACTGAAATTCTCCACTCGGATGATGACGACGGAGGCTCCACGGAAGAAATGTCAGGAGCAGAAGACACCGAGGAGGAGGAGGAGGAAATTGTTGGAGCGCCGGCGGCGGCGCTCTCTGAGCAGGTGATTCCGTTGCTGCGGTACTTGGATCGCAAGGTCGATAAATACGCCGACCCACTCCAGCCGGGATCTTACATCGAGTTAGTG